GCTCATAAAAATTTAAGTTGACTTTCTTATAGACATTTTTTTTTTTGATAAAGGTAGATAATCTTATGAGGAATCTTGTATTACATTTTCAAATCTTAGATTTAAAAAGAAAAATTTTTACGAATTCTTAACTCAAAATAATTTGCTAATTTTTGATTTTAAATAATTATAAATAAAAACTGTGTCTAAGGATAAATATTTTTCATCTGCCTTTGAAACAATATACTAGGAGCCTTCTATTAAATTTTCAAGCTTTCGCAATCAACAAATAAAATTTTATTGATATTTTTAGAAAAAAAACTAAAAAAAAATGGAAAATGAAAATGTCCCTAAACAGTTCAAAATAAATCAAAAAATTTTGAAAATGTTATCGTGCATAGAAAATGCAAATGTAAACAACCAGTGTAAATTTCATGTATAAACGTTCATTTATTTTAGAGTTACACCAAAAACCAAAATCTATTTTGTGAAAAATCGATTTTGTGTAAAAATTCCTGTTTTTCCTTAATTTTTCTTTTGTTAATCTTGTCGCTTGTGAAAACTATTGTGAATTTTAAATTTTGACCTCCCAAAAGTACCAACTATCTTCACTTTCCAATCGAACAAGTTACTGAAGTTGAAAATCGAAGCATTATTTCGACTACTAGTCGTGTACACAGACACAAAAAAAAAAATAATAAATAAAAAAAAAAACTCTCATCATTGTAAAATCAATACATTCATTGTTCCACTCAAAATCTAAAATAATAAGAAAAATTGTTTAATGAAAATTATGAAAAAATTATAAAAAAAAAAATTCGGTTATACACATATTTATTTATAAGTACATTTAGTAAAGAAATTATACTATTTGTGCGACGTTTTCAAGATTATTTATTATTTTATTTGTATGAATGTTGTTTGCAATTTATTAATTTACCTAATCATACAGCTAATAACTATTTAACTATTATATATTATAGAAAGAAACAACTTACGGTAATATTAAAAATTAACAGCCCCTAATTGAATGGAAAAGAATAATCTGTTCGGTTACATACAGTGTTGAGAATAAATAACGAATAATAAGATACAGATAATTGCATATACATTTGTCTAGGTACAGATAAAGATAAATCAATTTGACATTTATCTAGATCGGATAAATATTATTTAACTTTTATCTACATAATATGGTAGGCAGAAAAAACGAATTTGTATTATACTTAAATAACAAATATATTTCTTTACCTACTTGAACATAAAGTAACTAATAGTTAATAGGTGCATACAGTAATTTAGTATTATTATGTACTAATTGGATAGTGTTCTGATAGAGCAATTTCAGTAAAAAAAATATTAATATGATTTAAATAAAATGTATCTAGGTAAGTAAGTATGTCTTCTATGATAACAAATAGATAGATCGGACAAAGTGGAGGAGGGGGCTGGCTAAAAAATTGAAAAATTCGTAAAAAATATAAAAAATGATTTGCAATTAGCCAAACTCGATTTGCAATTAGTTGCAATTATTTGGTGGTATTTTGAAGTCATTCGGACAAAGTGAGGGGGACAACTTCATGTACATTTAAGAGTCGGCTCTTACTCGGTACCCGGCGTTATACCTACATTTTTACACAGCCCTTATTCGGTACCCAGCGAAATACTACATTCCTACTCGACTCATATCCAATGGCAAACGCTGATAATCTATTTATAAATATATGAAGGGTTAGGGGGAAAAACGATAATAGTCAATATTCCTAAAATGTTCAGTATTGCAGTTTTAAAGTGCGACTCTGGCCTTTTTTCCCCGTTACGGTAATATTTAAACCTGTATTCATATATCATTGATCTTGATCTTTTTTCCATAACTCGATTCAAGTGTCGATTCGTTATGAAACTATAACCAAAAGGTACTATAATTATTTGATTTTTTCTTTCTTTTGACTATGATCGTTTTTCCTCGTAACCCTTCATATGCATACCTATAATTTATACAACGGGAAAAATATAAAATTCTAGGGTCATAAATTATAATTTAAAATTGGTACATATATGAATAACTGAGCCGATTTACAATAGCCAGTTGATTATAAACAAATCATGTTTTTCTTCTACGAATTACAAAACATAAATCCCTTGTTTACTGTCTAATATTTATGTAGTTTATACTTGATACTCTGATAGAAGTGTAATACCCATTTTGTATTTACATTTCAACTCAGCCTATACTCGATACCCGGTTAGTATAAAAAATTTTACTCGGCCAGTACTCGGTACCTATTTTAATACCAGATTTTCTACCCAGAACATCTCTAGTTTTATTATTTTGTTTTTAATAATTCAGTTTTAAATCCTGGAGGGGAGTGTTCTGATAAAACAAATATATTTTAATATTATGTTGATGAACATTTAGTAAAGCGAAAAGTGTACAGTGTAACCAGACCAACCTTATTTGCTTTTATATTATGTTAGCTGTCGTTTCTAAACAGGTATTCAGAGCTTTTATAATATATATATATATATAATACGGTAAATTATGTTATATCGGAAAATATAGTTATTCGCCGGTTATTAACGTTATTTAGGGGCATACGTAAACTGCGAACAAATTACCTCTTTTTTTGTAAACTGCGCCCGAATTTTTATCCTAGTTGAAAAGGTATAGTGTAAACTGCGCCCGAAATGTTATCTATGTTAAAAAGATATAATGTAAACTGCGCCCGACTAATTAACTTATTAAATGTTCACTTATCAAAGTCTATGTTTGACGATTGTGTATTTTTTATTTTCGTCAAGAAATACCATCACGTTATCGAATATCTATATTGCAATAATACGACAATTGATGGTTATCACTACTTCCGGCATAGTTCTGCTAGTACCTATCGTATTCATTTTAATCAGTAAAGTCACGATGGCCGATCAATTCATGTCGCAGCGCGAAAAGTTAGAAAATTCAATTAATAAATATAATAGTAGTTAAATTCAAATTGACGAATATGTATCCACCATATGTAATTATTTGTAATATTTATAATTATTGTAATTTTTAAAATTATATTATATTTTTAATTATTCAAATTATATGGCTGTAACGAATTAAGTATTTTACCTGTAATTTTACACGGGCGCAGTTTACATGTCACCTTTTTACTCTTGATAAAAACTCGGGCGCAGTTTACATGTGTGATTTTGTGTTTACCTGTATTTTGGGCGCAGTTTAGAATCGCCGTTATTTAGCAACAAATGTGGGAATTATTGTTATTTTCTGGTGAATAACGTTTATAACCGTATGATATGGGAAATGTTCATTATAAAATAATGTCCAACGAGTAATGATAATGTAATCGCTAAATTAATTGTGGTACTAATTGGGGAAACCAATAAAACTTTATCGGCCACAGATACACATATTATTTGGTAATTATAACCACTGATGGTCTGCAGCTGCGGGTAATCGATAATCACACATACACGCACACGCTCCATATGTACACAAACACAATAATTATTATACTTTTTATTCTAAATTGAAATTATTATATTATTTTTTATATTTTATTATATTTCGAAAAAATTATATTAGTTAAATTATTATTGTACTCGTCAATCAGTTGTATCTCATCTCTCTTGCACCACAGAAAATACAATTTCGCGGCACGCTTGGCAAAACAATAATATAGGTAATAATGTAATAATATTACGATATTACACTATGTATTTAATCGAGAAAAGGCGACAAATACCTAATAATATTTAACTATTCATGATATAAACCGAAATGGATTTTAAGACAAAATATACTACCAACATTGCAAGCAATATTATGCTTATAATAATATTACCTAGGAGAACATCTATCGCCGGTGAGTGAGTAGGTTGGTAGTAGACGGACAGGTATGCTGCGCCTATCGGCTTTTGTATTTACTTGAACGGTGAACGTGAAGTGGATTGTAGAGGGGATTGGAGTTCGGAACGCGACTCGTGCAGTCGTCAAACAGCTGTTTATTAAATAATGAAGGAAAAATAATTAACCGAAAAAAGAATGTCATTGAATATTTATATTGTAAAACCGTATAAAATGTGAACCAGGAACGATCGAACAAAGAACTGTGCAGACGCTGAAAGAATGTTGGAAAATAGACAATCGGAGAAGACAGCTCAGAACATAGGAATGCGCAACAAGCGGCAACGGATGTTGATGGGGAGATGATGTAATTCAGAAATGGCGTTCGCAAATCCGAATGGCCGGGGGGGGGGGGGGGCTCGATGAGCGGTGAGGTAGAACTCGATGTAGTTGCCAGCAGAGCGCGAGCACGTTTTGGTGGTGTTGCGCGCGGTGCGTCCGTTCGATGTGGGGGAGGTGATCGCGGGTGTCCACCTATGTGTGAGAGGTGCAAGCGGGGTCTGATTCGGTGGTGGTGCGTGCGGGCTGCGCAGTGTTGGTAATCCAGTTTAGAGAGCAGTTTACAAAAGTATTGGTGCCTGCAGCCACGATTTGCGATAAGCCTACAGGTTACAGGTTAGTAGATAGTGCATTTATTTTTTTTTGATTTTCAGAAGTTATAACTATTTATCTTCGATTATGAACTTCCTGTTATAATATGTTATGCCAGCGACCAGGTGGAAATTAATGTAGTTAAGCGATAAGATTTTCCTTTCATTTAGACCTATATAAGCCGGCCAAAATTAATCATACTTCTAGTAGTCGAATTTTAATTTTTAATACTAATTTGAAATCGTTTGCCTCGTTTCTATACGTTTTGTAGTTCTTTTTAATGTGTTTATTGTCTCATTGCCCTTATAATATTAATTTTGAGAAACTAAGCAAATTGGTTTGGAACCACGCTAGGTAGTTACATGACTTTTTAAGATAT